CAGAGTCACTTTTTTGTGAGATGGGCAGTATCTAAATTTGAAATATAAATAAATAAATAAAAATTTTTAAAAATCTAAAAAAAAATCCAGATTCAAAGGGCAAAATGTGTTTCACAGTGTGCATAGGCTTATACGTAGCATCTGTCAGGAACACCTTAACGCAACTGCATCTTTTCCTTGACCTTTGCACAATTCTGTATTTCAGATGTTCCCACCAGGTGCTATATGCACAGCTAAATTTGCTCTAAATCACATTTTGCCCTTCAAATCCACATCACTGCGCAACCTTAGAAAACAGCATCAGGAAGACAGCTTTGAGCATGTTCCAGGAGGATGGCACTCATCCCCCTGTAGAGGTCCACACCACAACTTCAGTGCAGCAGGAAGTCAAGGCTGCAGCTTAGTTATTTCCCATTTCTACCATGGCTGATACATTTTTCTTCCTAAGAAATGGGACCCGTTACGTGGTATTTCTGTGTATGCACATATTAATATTACACAGTTTTATAAGGGTCATAATGTTTTGGTCCCTGAGGGAGATAAAGTTAATTCCCCCCCCCCATATTTTATATCCTCCTCATGTACAATTCCTACAATGCAGTGTAGGATTACAGTGTTGGACAAGCACCCGGTAGATCAGGTTCTAGTCCGCTCTCAGCAATAGAAGTTCCTTAAGTGACTTTGGGAAAATCTCTGGATCTAAGAACAGGTTAGGGATAGATTGTCATGGAGAAAATCTATCTATGTGGTCGCTAGGAGTCAAAAACAACTTGAAGGCACATAATCAATCAGTCAAGAGATTTTCAACAGTCATAATCCTTCTGCTGAACCTACCTCACAGGGTTGCATTGTGGGGAAAATGTAAGGCTGCTTAAATTTGTCCCTAGCTGTTCTGAGAGTAAAGTAGTGACTGAATGGCTCAGAGACACAAGGGGCCTGCATAGTACAGAGGATAGCTCCCACCTATTCGACCACAGTTCAACCCGGAGGTGATCCAACACTTTCGTCAAAATGACAGAAGCAGCATCATTTCATGGTAAAACAAGCCCCATCCCTTTTGTACACAAGTGCAAGCTCACAATACACTTACACATGGGCAGAGCTTGCCCTGCAAAGCTGCTTTAGTCATGTGACCTCCACCCCCACCTTCCCTTGAACCACTCCCACCCACCTACCAACTGTTAGGCTGCTTTCAATCCACTCATACAAAACAGTCATTCAAAGCCTGGGGCAAGATTGGAACGGTAAACTTGCCTCCTCCCTAACCTCATCTCGCCTCTCTCACACTTAATCCCCACCAGCTGATTTTGAGTAGCAAGAATACAAGGATACTATGCTGGGGGAATCCACCATTCCCTTGTTTTCCCTGCACACACTCAACAGGGGCACCAGCATTGGATGGCATCGTGCCTGTAGCAGGATAGGGATCAGCAACGGGGCAGGCAATTTTAGGCAGTGACCGTTTTCTGCGGTTCAAGAACGGGTGGATATCACTTTAAATGACCCAGGGCGACTGATGCCAATTCTGCAATGTTAACTCGTTGCGCACTGAACTGAGGCTGAACCCGAGGGCTTTACGTCCCAATCACTGCAGCTGATACAGTGAGCAACTGATACTCGTTGTCCAGGAGGTCGACTGCCCACTCCCCCTCTCCTTTGGGTGTGTCACTACAGCCTTCCCTCCACTTCTCTTTCTTAATCTTAACTCTTTCCAGTTCTTCCTTTCTCCATCTCTGCATCGCGTTTGCCAGGATCCAGTTCTCTGCGTATCACACTACCTTTGCCTGGTTGTGAGCTATGGTATTCTTGCTTTGGCGAGACTTACGTGGACTGGACATTTAAGGTCTGAGGTGCGATAAGAAATGTTGGTCGCTTGAGAAAAACCAGTAACTGTCAATG